AAATTGTAGAGCAGGTAAAGCAAAGAACAAACAAAGATAGATATGCCGATAATATGATAGAATATCAAGGAATATCAACAACGCCAACGCTTTCCATAACGTGTCATGGAAAAAAGGTCAGTGAACGCATTAGAAAAATAAAGAGGAATAATACAGTTTATTATATAGAAAAGGGTTACAACAACCATCAACGGTGAGGTGTTATGGTGTTAAACATTAGATGTGGTACCACAGTGATCAACTAATCCTCGATTGAAGAGGTTCATAGCAGCACTGTGGAGGGCTTCCAATTCTTTGAATAATCTAGGTGTTATCCTTGCTATGATAACGCACATCAAGCGGAGGAGTACAAGACTGGCACTTGCTTTGACATCTGGTTATAGAACTCAGTCTTGAAGGACAATAGAGTGAGGAAAACAACCTATTTAAAATATTATTAATTTCTTTGAATCTTAACTTGTAAAAACAAAGTTTACTGAATAAAAGTAAATGTTGCAACCATGTATGCGCCCTCAAATTTAGGATTGAACAAGCGCGCCACAGAAAACGAAGGTACCGAAACCGAAGAGGTGCCAAGAGAATACGCAACTAGACTCCAGAACGAGCTGGACTGGTCCCTTAGAAAACGTGTCGCGTGTCTGTAATTATTCATTATTCAATTTTCATTTTTATTTTGCATTAAAATTGATTGTTCAATCCAATTTGTTATTAGTGTATGTGTAAGAAGCGTTCACAGGTTAGTTGATTAATTATGATTTTGTTTGTGAGAGTTCAATTTATACAAATATCATTTTTTCCATTTTTATGTTTGTTTATAACATTTTTTTTATAGCATGTGCATTGTTCATGTATTTAACAAAAATCGTTTCATGCTGTAAACAACACCAATAAAGGAGTAAATTAAAACCTAAGAAATTATGTGCTGTCTTTTTGTGCTGAGGTTTTGATATTGTGTATTCCGAACGTACATTAGGGCCTTGTTGAATTTACTAACATTTTCCTACCCTGACGAGAGAATATCCTAGCAAATTGAAATAATTAATCTAGAGATATTGGCTCAAAAACAACTATAGCTGAGTAGTTTCCCGTATGGGACCTCAGTACCTGCTGGGAAACTGGCTTACTAACCAAAAACTCTTCAGTATTGAATATAGGTAGTGTTGATTGAATGTAGTGTGTGTAATTGAAATTTTAGCACAAAGACAAAGGATGGTACCTAATTTAAACTTTTATTGACTTAAATTATTGAATTATTTACTCACAATTATTATTAAAATGACACAGTATGTTTCGATTTTTGAGGAATGTTAGATCGAGGGTTTCTCTGCCGTGCTCTTTCCCCTCGTTAGTTCCAGGATGAGAACGGTACGATTTACTCTAATAATAAAGTAGACGTTTCACAAATTTTTCGTTTCTTTTACATATCACAACTTCCCTTAAATTTCCCTAATATTTGCTATGTCCAGTAAGTAAAATTGAGTAAGTTTCCACAACGTAAGTCCTATTTTTTTCTTCATTTCGTTTTTCAGAAGATTTGTTGTTTAAAAGTAATAAAAATTCTCATCGTTCAATCTTACCGAACGAACCCGGGTATGTTAAACTACAAGAGGTAGTGACAAAATAACTTCCAATCGGCACAAACACACTAGTGGAAGATGTCAAACGACAGAGTGGCGCAAAGTAAACTTTCACTGGACATGGAATTTTTGGGTCTTGTCTGAAGAAAATAGACGAATAAACAACAGACCAGCGCTGGGACATCTACTTTTTTTTTTATCTTTGACAACTTTAGAACAAGAGCTTTGCTGTATGAGAATAAAAAGAACAAACATTGCAGGTCTGCTAGAAATGATGTGCAAGATCATGAAAACGGAAGAAATGAACAAGAAAATTAAAGAAGACTGCGTAAGGATAATGGAAAAACCTGAAACACATAGAAGTGGGGGGACCTCAGGAAAGGGTTTTGGTAGGTTGAAAAGTCTGGAGACACACTCTGAGGTGTCACACCATACCGCAACTTCGGATATGTATTTCCTTCCATATAGGAGATGAAAGAGGCTTTATGAAATGTAGCAATAATAATGTCTATGTCATCCACATTCTTCAAAGTAAGAAAAATCTTCACTCCATTTTCTCGCCATTACTACGTTAACGACACAAAGTGAGTCATTATAAATTTATCATTCCTTTTGGTCATTCTGCCTCGGATATAGTAAATCGAGATCGCATTCAGAAAAAAAAATGTCCCAGCTGCCATCACTTTTAAGAAACATATACCATAAAGAATATATACCATTATATTGTAAGTATTTAAAAGTTGTACGATATAGTAGGTCCGGTTCCTCGGCCGAAAAATCTTTCTTATTTTATGGGTCCGGATTTTTATTGCCGACAACTTTTGAAAATGCAAAAAACGACCGAAAACGCACAGACGAAATAAATCATATAACCCAAAGGCGGGAATTTCGAAAATCAACAAAGCTATAGGAATGGTCGATATGGATCGATATTCGTAAACGTGGACGAAGTGATCTTGTTTTCTAATAATTTGTTTAACGGTTATGAGACTTGGGTATTTTGATTAAGTTATTTTTTTGCTGTTTAAGTACGTATACTCAAAATTATGGTAAATATTATTAACGTTAATTGAAGCTGGCATTTAAAACTAGATCTTGGAAAAAGGTCATGCGACAGAATGTGCCCTTCAGTATGTTTCAAAGAACTTAGTCAAGCAGACATTAAATTTATAATTGCCATATTCTCAGACTTTAAACGTGCTTTCGAAACATTGGGTTACCGATAAATTTGATGATGAAAACAAAAATGACAAAAAAATAGATGTTCCTTTTTCAGAATGTAATTGAATAATATTGCGGTGGTCTTTCAAAGTAAATATCTCGGATGCATTTATTATTTATTTAAGGTTCGATTTTTTAAAAAATTATAGCGCTAGTAGTGAAATTGGCAGTTGCAGTAGGAAACCTAGTACCTAGGTCAGTGGCGTAGCCAGGATTTTGTGTTGGGGGGGGGCAAATTTGCAGGAAGCGTCTCTTGCGGCCCTACCGCGACCACTGCCGGAGGCAAAGCGCCGCAGGCGCGAAATTTTTGGGTGCCACGCCCCTTTTTCAGGTTTCTCTACGCTATTTTTGGGACTGTTTATCTTAATATTGAAGAAATATTCATAAAATTTAAGGGTCTTGCGGGGGGCAAATGCCCCCTTGCCCCCCCCCTGGCTACGCCAGTGACCTAGGTATTCTAGTTTACAATACAATGTTAGCAACACAATTCTTTATCGATACAAAGGTCCATCGATAGTAGAGTCCATTGTCGAAAAATGGCGAAAAAAGAGTAAAAAACGGCGCCGAGGCACTCGGAGCTGCTTTTAATTACATTTTTAAATGAGCTCCGAACCGATCCTGTAAGGGCCTTGTAGCGCTTGAATTTATATGGGTTTATTAAATTTTAATTTCGACCAGTGTTTCGGTTCCCAAAGGCGAAAATGAGCGAAAAAACTCAGACAAAGCGCGCATTCCACGGTGCTTTATTGGCGGCGGTTTTTGCCCCGAAAATGTCGTTAAAATGGTAAAACGGCGATTTCGCAGATAAAATCTTGCTGAAAATGCTTTTGACGAAATTAGGCGCTGATGGGCAAAAAATCGAAATCAATTCATTAGGTCGGCAGTTGATGTTGATTTAAGGCGACGCGAGGAAAAAATTTGTCTCTTGATACTCGTGCATCACGGTTTTACTCCGATGAACAAATAAAAAAAGCTGAATACATACATTTTTAAAAGCCACAAAAGCTTCAAGAACTGAAATAAATAAATAGATTCAGTTGTTGTGGAGAACCATTCCAAAGTCTGGTAATTTGGGCTCGATATATTACTGGACTAAATGGCTGTACATGACTGTAAATGAGCAAAAACACGGTTGCCGAATGTTTTGGGACCCGAATTATTCAAATTACTGTTAAAATTGCTTCACTGCCTTTGTCACTTTTGTTAAATGATACAGTTACTACGTTTACACGGAAGCTTCGGGAACGGATTACCAATACACAATATTATATATTTTCATTATTTTCCCAAACTCGTACATACGATTTATTCTACGAACTTAACATACACTTAGTTTACTGAAGACAAATGTGAGTTCATTTTTTAAGGGGTGAAAAAATGAAGGAAAGTCCCATCAATGATGGGATGTAATGCATGGATCCCGAAACTAGTACCTCAACTATAAATAAAGGATTGTGAGATTCACGACTTTCCTTCTTTTTTTCACCCCTTAACTTAACATAGGTACGCCTTTTTGGGAGAAAGCTCAAATCCTAATCCTAATCGAAAAAAAAAGCAAGGATCAACAAACGTCAGATTACAGGAGAACTTGCTAGGATAAATAGACTTAAAATGTTTGTCCCTTAAGGTCAACTTGGTTAACTGTGACGCAAAAAACAGATTTTATATTGGAATGTCCTACACAGATTTACAAATTTTTTTTGTTTTTTTTTTTTGTCAACTGTTCCAGTTACCCTTATTTTGAAGCAACTAAAACAGTGACTCCTATTTTCCTATATGCATTCAAATAGTGCTAATTCTGAGGTAGGTAACTGAAATGTAGTGTAACGTATATGTAAAAATCCTACCAATTTTTTTTTTTTTTTGCATAAGAATTATGGGAAATATGGGAGATGCAACAAAAGCAGTACCAAGTGGTAAAGAAATAACGTTTATTATAAAATACAATAAAACTCCCATTCTCTAGGTAAGCATAACCATTAAGTGCTAGAATTAATAAACTAAGTGAGTAAGTATGAAAACAAAAAATTGCCAAACTTCCTCAAAGAAAAATATTCCTCTCTTTTCTATGGGTGCTGGAAGTTTTCTTTGGAATTCGTTGCGCTTGAAATTGACTATGTCTGGCTGGGACATTTGGAAAAATATAAATATTTACCTTCTTTCGTAGTCAAGACACACGTAATTCTTCATTGGTTTTGGAAATTATTTACATACAAATTCTTTTTGTGTTTCTTTTTTTGTTCCTTTATTATAAATAAAATTGCAAATAACAAGATCAGAGATCTCTACATCCATGTGATTGTAATCTATTTCGTCTTCCATTACATTTTCTGTTTGTATCTCTTGTGATGTATTTTTTTCACGTAGCCCTGGTTCTTCTTCGATTTCCTCCAATTTTTGTTTTCTGTTTTCATCTAAACGTTCTTCATCTTCTAAAGATGGAAACTCATCGTCAATCAGATCGCACTCTTCGTCAACATAGTTTACCTCTAATTCTTTTTCCAAAGATGTATTTGAAGATGACTCACTACTTTCTGAAGAGGATCTTTCTTTTTTTTCATTAAATTTAGTTTCGATTTTGGATTTTTCTTTTAAAACGTGATTCTCCTTTTTTACTTTTAAGCTTTCTTTGGTATTTATATTTTTTTTTTCTTACTTTCCTTCAGTAGTCTTCTTTCTTCTTCCTCCTTCTCTTTGCGTTTAAAATAATCTTCGGTTGTGAAAATTTCTGTGCCGGTACAAATTGTTTTTCTCCTTGGCTCTAAACTCACATTTTGCTTTGTCTAATTTCTAACAGACTCACCAAAATCTCTTAGAAAGAAGTTGGTGTGTTGGAAGGCCCTGGAATTGGTTCAATTTGATGCGAAGGCCCTGGAATTGATTAAATTTGATGTAAAGGCCCTGGAATTGGTTTAATTTGATGGGAAGGCCCTGGAATTTGTTCGATGTTATCGGAAGGCCTTGGCATTGGTTCAATTTGATGGGATGATCCTGGCTTGGGTTCAGAGTAATTAACAGTCTGACCAGGAGTGGAGTTTGCAATACCTTCATTGTTATCAGTGTCCCCACTACGATTACTTGAAGTTAAAAAAATGGGAGTATGACTTGCTACCAAGATCATTTACGTTATCTTTATCCTTTGGGGCAGACTTTTTGTTCCTGTTCTGATATTTTACCAAATCAGAATATAAAAAAATCTCAGCCGCAATTTGTTTCCGATCTGGGAACCCCAATTCATTGTTATATATATGCCAGTAGCTTTGAAAGCGTTCAATATATTTTCATCAGGCTTTTTGCAAACTCTTCTCTAAGAATTCTAAGAAACTCTGGTTTTGGATTTTTTTTCGGGGGTTCTGTCTTTGCCACTTGCAGAGGTAAGGGTTTTGTCCCATTGCGCCTTCATTCCTCTAAATACCCTTACATCTAAAGGTTGCAAGATGTAAGTTGAGTGGGGGGATTTTAAAATAACTATATCATTATCCATAGCTTCTTTAATTAACTCGCAGGATATAATATGTGAAACATGTCCATCTACAATTAGGAGGACTGGTCTTTCTGGTGAAATTTTGGGAAGAAGGGACTTTATAAACTACCCCGAAAATATCTCAGCTGTCATCCAACCTTGGTCGGACGCAGCAGTATCAGTTTTGTCTAAAGGATCTGCTTTTTCTGGAACTATAGATTCAATTATGTTTTTTCCCTTGAATATCGTAAGAAATGGTAATTTTTGGCCCGAAGCTGAGCAGCACACTAAAACCGTCGTACTTTCTCTCCCACACGATGAAATAGTTCGACTACATTTGGCACCAATTTTACCAAGACTTTTTGTTTTAGAAGGATCGTTGGGAAATGACGTTTCGTCACAGTTGAAAATGCATGCAGGTTTATTCAGAAAATCAAGATCCTTAAAAGTTTTTTCTTATTCATCAAAAAAACCAAAAATTGTCCAGGGATTCTCTTGTTTTCATCTAGCAGCTTCTACTCTTTGAGGTTTCTTCAGTGATAAATTTCTCCTTTTACAAAAATTCAGAAGCCATTGCTCCCCTGGCCGGCCATCTTCAAATTTGGTCGTATTTTTTTTTCACGTGCTTGCACTAAATCAAGCATTTCCTCCTTTGATAATCCATATCCCCATTTCTGCATAGTGTTCAGCACAGTTGACAGTTCTTCTTGTACTTCATTGGACAGTGCATATATTCCTCCAATCCTCCACCACCTTTTCCTGCTACCGACAATATTCCTTTCCCTCTTGTTCCAAATACAAAGTGTCTTATTGCGGATCTTGGTATGTCATAGAAAACGGCAGCACCGTACATTGTTCTGTTACCGTTTTGAACATCTTCAATTGCTTTTTTCAGGGCATCCTTAGTGTATCTTCCACCGTCCGCACCTTTGGAGGTTTTACGGATATAATTCCTGACCATATTTGTTCTAGAACAAATGAGAATGCAACATACTGTGTTAATTTCAGGTAACTGGAGCATATTTTCCAGTTGCCCACATCATATACGTTCCAGTTGCTTCTGTAGGTGTTTTTACTGGGGCAACTGAACTGTATTTTTCTCAATTGAAATTCTAACCTCAAAATAAACCCGGCCTACCTTGACAACATAGGATTTTAAGCCAACTAAATATACCTAACAGCTATTATGGTCGATAGTTTGGCAATTTAAAAATCGCGATAAACAACTGTCTAATGCATTCACCTCTGAATGTAGACTTCTTCCAAATCTTTTCACACTTTTCTGTTAAAAGGGTTGACCTGACTTCTCTCGACCTGTCTTGGTTCCCAAGCTATGAGTTATGAGTTTGTCCATGAGACATCTGCTTCCTCCGTTCTTCTTCTTAGTGTCCTTTTGGCACTCCATTCCTGAGTTTCCACCATGATCAATTTTCAGTAATCGGTGAGCTATTTAATTTTGAAGGATATGTTATAGAGGGTAGATATTTTTATGTTAACGTCGTGGTTTCTAGACCATATGGAAGAATTTGAAGTATACATAGATCATGAAATTTTTGTTTGAAATTTATAGGTATTCTGATCTGATCTGAGGTATCTGATCTATATTCAACCTGAGTTCACCAAGTGCCACACAACGCAGTCATTTTCTCCGAGAAAATTCATGATTTGTAATCCGATTTGTATCAATTTTTGATGACCTTGTTAATTGTTGTATTATTCTCGGTTTTTCTGGTGGAGTGCTTAGCAGTTTGTATGATATCGTCTGCAAATGTCAAGGGATTAGCTTAGGCCATTTTCCAGGGCAAACTTGAAAGGCTTCGGAGAGATCGTGTTCCCTTGCCGTATGCTTGTTGGATTGGGATTTTGCAAGTCTTGTCTTCTTCTAGTGTTATTGTCATAGTTGGAATTACATTCACCGAAGCGTCGATCAACAACACAGTGCAGTCAGCTGGATCAAAGGACATGATCACAGCAAAGGCAATCGGGCTGCCGATGCTCTAGCTAGACGGGCCAAAAGGCTACAGTCTTCTGGACAAAAGCCTTTCGTAGAATGCAGAATCTTATTCTTGTTCAAGTTGACCTATAGGCCGATTCTTCTGTATGCCTGGTTGAATGCATTGATAATTGCCTGAAGAACTTCTCTGTATTGATCATAACGACGTTATCATCTGCATATTGATGATCAATTATCGATGTCGTTGATACTTTCGTTTTGACTCGTGTCATCGCTAAGATCTTAGACTGGCATATCTCTCTCATTATGTTGACACTCATCTCAGTCTTCGAAGGAGAAGATGCTTTCCAAATAAAACTTCGTTCTGGTAAACTGCATAGCAATACGCCTTATCCGGGCGACCATACCTAGTTCGGTGAATTAGACATTTCCAATTTGAAACGAATTTACGAATAGCTAGCGACATCAATTTTTTTTTTTGAATCCGCAAAGGCAACCCTTAAGCTCCTGTTTCTATTATCAAACTTCTCTTAAAACTACTGTTACAACTACCAGACAAAGAAAACTATTTGGATTTGGATCTACCAGCCAAGGAAGTTATTGGATAAAGGTTTTTGTAAATATCAGCATCAGCTAGTTTTAGATACGAGACGAATAATGATTGCGATGTAAACGCAGTAACATCCACATCGTTCCCAATTTTCCGAAAGAGTAAAAAGTTAGGAAAACTGAAACCCGCGAAAATCTGTCACTGTCAAAGGCATAGAGTCGCGGGCGCTTGTAATGTTCCCAATTAACATACGTATTTGCATAAAATTTGTAACTTAACCGGCGAGAGGGTTTGGTTTCAGGGGCGGGGGGAGTGAAAATCTCACCCGCCACTTCGCTTATGTAACCAGGAATTAGGCAAATTCTCCTTCAAGAGTCTGTTGGTGACTGCAGGGTCATTTTTCATTGAAGTTTTTAGATTCGATTTGATCCATTAAAACTTGACAAATTTTCGATATTCAATATCTTCTAATTTGTTTAGCGAAGATCAAAAATATGAACCATACAAATAGGTAAACAACTTTCTGAAATACATGCTCTAGCGGAAATGAATTTTCAACATAAACAGCATTAGGAAACCTATGTTACCAATACGAAATACAAAAAAAAAACAAAGTCAAATCTAAATGATTCTTTAAAATCCATAGTCATAGTTGCCTCGTTGACTCTATCTCGTCAACTGCATTGATATTCGATGAAATATTCAAATCCATTACAAAACTATTAGATATATTACCAAAACGTTAATTAACTGTATTTGCTCGAAACCCTTTTCATTAATTAAATGAAGTTTGAATATCTGCGTTTCTGATTTTTTCACTACTTGGAGTAATTCAATACTCTATTTGATATTTCGTCGGGCCCCGGCTTTTTCTATGTTATGAAGTGTTTTCTATTAATTTATGTATTAGTTCAAGATTGTATTTACCATACAAATCACATTTTTTGTGGACCTACACATACACTCCCAGTATCCAGACTAAAAAAGGTATTAGAACAATCCAACATCAATTACACCTATATAACTGCACTTAAAGAACTAAATAAAGACTCAAAATCAAGAATTAAGATAGGTAAAAAACTCAGGCACATTTATAGTCAATAAAGGACTAGGTCAAGGATGTTGTATCTCTCCTACGCTTCTTAAAATATACGTAGCAGTGGCACTAAAAAATTGGAAGAGGAAGATCTATGGAATAAGTATAGGGATAAATAATAGGTGCCTGTTTACTCTTCAGTTTGCAGATGATCAGGTTATAGTGGCCAGTGACAAAGAGGACATGCAATATATGATTAGGAAGCTGATAGAAGTGTATCATGAATAGGGCCTGAAAGTTAATATAAATAAAACAAAATTATTTATGTGTAGGCAACCAGAACGGAAACTTGGAAGTGGACGATGGTCAGGAAATTCTGCAATATCAGGAATATGAGTTTCTAGGTATCACATTCGACAACACCGGAACAGATGTGGAAGAAATAGAAAAGCAGATAGTTAAAGCTTGAAAAGTAATAAGGTGCCTAAATGGAATCTTATGAAGCAAGAAAATAACAAAGAAGGGAAAATTCAATATATACGAGACAATGATAAAGAGCAGCCTTCTATATGAAGCAGAGACTTGGAGAATTACAGACAGACAAAAGAAGAAAGTAGAAACAGTTGAAATGGAATCTCACGAAGAGAGAGAATAAGGAATGACCATATAAAATAACAAATGGAAATAGAAGCTACGATAGTTCAACCAAAGACCAGGTGGCCCAGAAAAATGCTGCATTGGCAACCAACAGATAGAAGAAAACGTGGAAGACCAAAATTGGAATAGCGGAAGACTATACAAAAGTCCATGAGTGAAAGAAATCTTTCATCAGAGGATTGCGACGATAGAAAAGGATAGAAATTAGATGACGGACAACGAAAAAAATCAGTTCAAGATCACTGTCTTCTTCTTATTCTTCTCCTTTCTTTCCTCAATCAGCAGCTTTTGATTTTCCTTGGTTTCAAAATACGATCCTCCATTTCCCTGAATGAAATAATCGTGATCACTAATAAATCTACCTACCTGGAAACTATATTTTATAAAACCT